TTGTTAGTTGATAGTTGATTACATACAAAATGACTTTCTCAAAAAGCTAATTGAAAAAACTGTTTTGAGCAACTTTTTGAATTTTAGTGTTTTGTAGCAATAAGTTGTTACAAAAAGCTAATTAATCAAACATTTATATTGGTTGTTTAACCAAGCCAAATAGCTAATGATTGTCAAACAAGTCAAAATTAAGAATAGGCTAACTATTTACCAAACACGACCATATAATTTAATCAATATATTTTGATTTTGTGCAATTTAATTTTTAAAATGGTGTATTTAACCCTGTTAAAATTGAATATTAATTTTACTAATATGACGTTAACATCATCACTACCACACCTGAAAAATAGTTGAAAACTGAAAAATAGCTGAAAAGCTATAAGTTAGAAGCTGAAAACTGAAGAGTTGTTAACTAGTTGATTATGCTTAAAAATGTTTGATAAATTTAACTTTTTGATAAGCTGATAAATGTAAAAAGACTAAAAATGACATTTTTATAAAATTTAAATAATGTGGTTATTATATTGTTTATATATTATTAAATATATGAGATATATTTAATTTATTAAAATAAAATTTTTTTATTTTTATAATATATATGAGATATATATTAAATTTAAACAAAAGGAAAAAAGTTTTTGTTGGTCCCGAAAGGGTGGCGAGAAGTCTAGAGGGGGGTGAATAGACTTCTCTAACTTTTTCAACTTTCTTCGAAAACACACAAGGCAAATAACACTTTGGTAATTTCAACACCAAGCATTAACAAGATAAGCAACTTAGAGTGTGCAGCGGAATAGGTAGCGGTAAAGTGTTATGCTTATAAGTGCGGTGCTCAAAGAGATATTCTAAACATGCAACACGTTAGAAACACTTGATATGGTTCAAAGATGATGTATGTAAAGTTTGGCTTGCATGCAAACGTGGAAACTATCAAACCCAGACAGATAAAGATATGCGATAAATCGTAATCGGGTTAGTTCGCAGTTAGAATAAGCATGCATGAAATGTATGAGCAATAAGTAAACAGAGAGAGAGATTTATAGTGGTTCAGAGGTGGTGTAATCCTCCTAGTCCACTCTTCTCCTTTCACTTCAAGGAGGAAATTCACTATTCTTCGATCACCCAGATACAATAGTGAATAAGTGTCCACCGATACTTCTCCGAGTGCTTCGCACAAAGCTACACTCCTACAAGGTTTTTCGCAAGCTCCTCTTGTTACTCCGCCTTCCCGAGTACTTCGCACCAAGCTGTACTCCTACACCACGAGAACTACGCACAAAGCTACGTCCTCCAGGGTTTTCACAAGCTCCTCTTGTTACTCTGCCCTTCACCACGAGTGTTACGCACAAAGCTACACTCCACTAGGGTTTTTCACTCTCTCTAGTTACTCCGCCATCTTTCTACACTCAGTAGAGAATATTACAAAGAAATAAAATTTCTCTCACTCAGACTTGAATTTTATTCTATGAAGCTCTGTTTCCCCCTTTTTCGGCTAATAAAAAATATAGCTTGTATCTTTTGCTTGTATGTTTTAGCCGTTGTTCAAGTTTGAACTGCTCAATCACTTGGGTTTTTTCTTGCTGAACTGCTCTCTTCTCATCTATATCCGTCAGTTTGTCTTCAAGTCTGCTTGGACAATTTATAGCTAGTAAAAGCTATTTGCCCGTTGATCAACTTTCGATCTTGATCGTCCATTTTGAATTGTAGTTGATCAAAAGATATTGTCAACTTGATCTGAAATGTTAGGTAGATGTCTTTTCTCCTTTTGTCAGATGATTTGAATAATTTGCCCGTTGCCGTTTCTTGAATTTTGTAGCCTCCAAAATTTGAATAAGTTCGGCGCGGCAATTTTTGACATTTCTGGTCCTTCATAAATACTCTGACATGTCAAGTTGATCAAATAATTTATCTGCTGATTCTTGCTTGAGTATAAAATAATTTCTCCGCGAATCAGCCTTCTTTGAGCGTCTCCGGTTCCACCGTAAAAACTTGATGTTCAGATGAAAATATATCATTTTCTCCTTCATGATCCTTGTAAAATAATATACTGGAACCTCTGTAAAACTTCACTGTTGTTCATGGTGAGATGCTCTGTTTCGAATTTCTAGCTTGATAGTCTCCAATTAGCTAGTCTCCATTTTAGCTAGTCTCCTTTTAGCTAGTCTCCCAAGCTTAAAAATGCTTCACTTGAGATTTGAACTTATGATCATATGATCATTTGGCATAGCTCACATGTATTTCTTCCAACACCTCTAGCATGGTTCTTGGTGACTTATCCGCATCATAATTGTGTTAAGCTATAATCCCGCTTAACATCTAAAATCAACTTGTGATTTTCCAGACTTGTACATGGGTTGCATGATATGGGTGCACCATACTCCGTAGACTCAAATAGAATAAAAATGGGGACTACTTGATTTTTCAAAAATACATTCGGCTCATCAAAATTTACAAAATATTCCTAACAATTTCCCCCTTTTTGATGATGCCGAAACTTATACCCAAGTCATTTTGGCTTTGTCAATTTTGAAAAATGATTTCTTTTATTCGATTTTATTTCGACTAGCCAATTGACGGGTTTAACAAATTTAAGACCTAGAGATTTTAATTTTGGACGGTCCTAAACGTATATTGAGACTATAACGCGGGGTTGCGTATTGATTTTTATCTTTTAATTTTTCTTCCCCCTTTCAATTTTATTTTCTCAATTATACGCATCACATGCAATTACTAAGTCCAATTTAAAATCTTGTGACATAAAAGCACAAAATAAATAAATTAACTAGGACTTACTTCGTATGGTACGAAATATTTTCATCATGCAATTTCAACCCATTTTAGCTTAGCATATATAGGATGTCAAAACAAATGTGCTAGCTAAAATAAATTATACACCAAAAATTGAATTTGACAAACAACTTTGTTACCTCCCTTTCAACTTCGCATTGATGAACTCTCTCAACTTCTTGAAGTCCTTTTCTAGCTCTTTGTGTTGATAGGGTGCGGTCACTTGCCCGGTGACATAGTTTCCGTACGCTTCCCTAATGTTGTTCCCTTTCAATACTCCTGCTTCATGCCAGAAAATACATTCATCAAACGTTCGGCCGTCACACATTTGTTCACTACGGTGTCCGAATTCCGTTTGAAGTTCTTGCAATTTTTGAATCCTTGTTGCAATTGGCTTCGGCATTGGAGGCGTTGGAGCAATCGGCGTCGGTGGCAACACTCCTAGAGATGTAGAACTTGGGCTCGGACAAGTTCCTCTAAGGTAATCAATCATACTTACATGGCTTGGAGCTCTTGGTGGTGTTGGTCGAATTAGTTCAACTATTGGTCCTCTTGGAGCTCTTGGTTGTGTGTACGCATAAGCTTGTGGCACAAAATGACGTGCCAATCCTTCCCCCTTTTCGGCAGCATCTATGACTCGTTGAAAGCTCTTGGTGAAAGAATCTTGCTTGTCACGCACTCCCTCTAGAAGATCCATGTGAATACGCGATTGAGTTAGTAAACCTTGCACTTGTTGTTCCAAAAGTTTGAGCCTCGACGTAGTATCGGACCCATGCTTTCCCATTTCATTGAACAACTTCATCACATCTTTCTTCAATTCATCTTTGGCCGTGTCAATTTCGGTTTTTAATAGGCCTTGCCTATTAAACAATTGTTGAGCACGATCCACCATCTCCTTGTGATAATCATCAAGTTTTGTGTCCATTGCCTCCATCTTTGTGTTCAATTCACCCATAGATCCTTGTACAATACCCCTAACATCCCCAACAATTTCTTCTCTCAAGGCTTGTGCATTGAACAATTGTTCTCTTTGAACGGGTTGATGTGGAATCGGCAAGGGGTGTACAAAATCATCTTGTGGTGTGGTGATCATTGTGTCGGCAAGATTTGCTTCGGCTTCTTCGGTGTTGTAGCAAATCATCAATGTATTTCGGATCCTTGGATGATCTTGATCGTAGACTTCACAAGTAATTGGCAATGTAGGCAAATTCCGTGCTTCATCTAAATTCAAGGAAACCCCTTGACTTGGTGCATTTCCTTCTTCACGAATAGACTCCGTAACCTCCGTTACGGGATGTGGAAAGTAAGACTCAAAGCTCAAATTTTCATTCAAATTTTCATCTCCAAAATTCGCAGGATATGGATCAAATGCCACGATCTCTACACCATCATTTCTCGCCAAAGATCCCTCTCCGGGTCCTCTTCGGGTATCTTCTAAAGACATAGCGGTGGCACGGCGAATATCATTTGAATCAAACTCTCCTAAAGGCTCTTTGGTTGTGGCTTCAACCATCACTCCCTTTACGGTTATCTTCTTCCTAGCAAGCTTAGTCAAAAAGTGAGACTTAATCACCGAAAGTCGGGTAGCTTTAGCAAGATCACGTGTGCCTAACCAATTCAACACCATTTCTTCCCTTTCCATGGTATTCGGCCTTATTGATTCGGCTAGCAAGTTGTGATCCCCTAATCTCCATGCTCTCCATTCTAGTGCTCTTTTAAACTCCTCCAAAAGTGCACTATCCGCCCCAATTGTGGATATCTCATCATCACTTCCAACTTCAATTTGATCATTCTCAACAACATTCACTTCAACTCTATTCGCCTCAACAAACCCGTGGCTCTCAAGGATAATTGGGTTTGGATTTTGAGTGGTTAAGGGTCTTGAGATTGGGTGGCTATTTTGCTCCTCATTTGATCTAACGGCATGGGTGTTTGAACCTTCATGACTTGGTTCTCGGATATATTGTTTAAGGTTTTGGAAGGGGTTGGGCAATTTTCTTTTTCGGGTGGGTTTTGGTAGGCTTGTGGGTAAGGAGGGATTTTTAGGTTCATTGGAGTTGGGTGGCCGAAAGAGGTAGCTATGGTTTGTAATATGCTTGGCTTTGGTAAGGGTGACATTCTTGGTTCTCAAAATCTCACCAACGGCAAACCCGTAACCGATCTCCTGTTGAAACCATCCATCCACCAAAGGCTTGGCCTTCCTAATAGACTCACACAACCCCAATAGATTTGTCCTCCACTTGCTTATTGAAGTCGGTGACATCTAGAATCATCCCGCTTAGTACACGGCTAGATTTCCTTGTTCCTCCGGTTGTGAATGACTCCATCTCCACTTGATTAATCTCCATTTGAGTAGAAAAAGAATTTAGAAATTTTTGGGTGCAAGATTGAGTGTTTCGGCAGTGAGGTCCGAAATAGGATAGAAAGGATGGGTTTTTGGATTGTGAGGTTATTTGGGTAGGATTTTGGGTTTGGGTGATGGGTTTTAGTGTGTAGAAGATTTTTGTGTAGAGAAATTAGAGTGGGTGTTTGAGTGTTGGGAGATTCTTGGCTTTTTCTTGTGCTATGTTTCCGGCCGGCGAGAGAGAGGGAAGAAGAAGATTTTGTGTTCTTCTTTAATTCCACTTTCTACCCGTTAGAATTGAGGGAGAAGGGATGCGAAATTACTCCTTTGCCCTCTAGTGGGTAGAGAGAGAGTATTGATCTCCTTGAGGATAAATTCGACCTTCCACATGATTTAAATTTGCCAGCTCAGATTTTTATACTCCATTTGTGAGTACATGGCGCCAAAAATTGTGCTTCAAATAACCGCCAACCTGGAGCAAATCAGATAAAAAAAAATCTCAAAAATAATCTATTAGACCAATAAATACACTCCAGATTAATATTATTATTTCAATTTCATATTTCAATAAAGCTGATTTTCTGAAAAGAAACCTGATAAAAATAAATTGATCAGACAGATACCTAATATCTGAAAAGAATTTCAAGTTCCCAAAACAATTAAATCTTTTGACTTTCTAAAATTGGGCCTAACTTGTTTGACTTTTGAATCTCCAAAAAATGTGCAAGCACTCATCAGAATACATCTTTTCTTCTCATATAAACCCAATAGCTATATTCCCCCTAAATATATGCAATTTCATCAAAATTAACCCAATTAAAAGAACATTCCCCCTAAATTACATACTAATCTCAAATTAATCTAATTAAACACATTTAGCAAACAAATTACACAAATCAATTATGCTAAAACGTGACAAATTAAATAGACATACGTATCACATAAATAAATCGCAAATTTAGGTACGCAGTTTTCGTAAGATAAAATTATAACACATTTAGGTACATACAAATTTTACGAAAACATGTACACAATTAAACATATATCATACGTACATACCAATTCAAATTAAAACACATAGGTCACATAGATTTCATGCAATACACACAGTACATATCAAAAATTAACAAAAATTAAGAGTTAAGGAATTGCTTAGCTCATTTCGATCATTCCCATTTCATGCCTTAGAGTTGCAAAATGAGATTCACACAACGGCTTTGTGAGAATGTCGGCAATTTGATTCTCCATGGGAACATGATCGATCTTCAAATATTTCTTTTCGACGTGGTCTCGGATAAAATGGTGTCGAACGTCAATATGCTTGGTTCGCGAATGAAGCACCGGATTTTGGGTTATGGCGATTGCACTTGTATTATCGCATAAAATGCTAACATTTTCGCACTTAATCCCATAGTCCAATAATTGTTGCTTCATCCACAAGATTTGTGCACAACAACTCCCAGCTGCAATATATTCGGCTTCGGCAGTGCTCGTAGCTATGGAGTTTTGCTTTTTGCTGAACCAAGAGACCAATCTTCCCCCTAAGAACTGGCATGTCCCTGAGGTACTTTTTCGGTCTATTTTACAACCTGCAAAATCTGCATCTGAATAACCAGTTAGTGTAAAATCTCCTTCTTTGGGATACCATAATCCCACATTGATTGTTCCTTTGAGATATCGAATTATCTTCTTGGTTGCAATCAGATGACTTTCTTTGGGCTTTGATTGGAATCTTGCACATATGCCAACCGAGTAGGATATGTCCGGTCTGCTTGCGGTTAAGTATAGTAACGATCCAATCATCCTTCGATACATCGTTTGATCGACGTCTTTTCCTTCATCATCTTTATCCAATTTTTGAGATGTACTCATGGGAATTTTGACTGAGGATTTTCCATCTATGCCAAATTTCTTGATAAGATCTCTTGTGTACTTGGCTTGATTTATGAAAATTCCTTCTTCAAGTTGCTTGACTTGCAGTCCCAAAAAGTAATTTAATTCTCCCATCATACTCATCTCGAACCTATTCTGCATGAGCTTAGAAAATTTCTCACATAAAGATTTATCAGTACTTCCAAAGATAATATCATCAACATAAATTTGTACTAATAAAATGTGATTATTTTCTTGAATTCTAAAGAGGGTTTTATCGACTAGACCTTTGGTGAATCCACAACTAATTAAGAACATCGACAAGGTGTCGTACCAAGCTCGCGGAGCTTGTTTTAACCCATACAATGCCTTCTTTAATTTGTAAACTTGATCACCAACGTCTTTTACCTCAAAACCGGGTGGTTGTTCGACGTAAACTTCTTCTTCAAGTAAGCCATTTAAAAATACACTCTTTACGTCCATTTGATATACAACGAAATTCTTGTGCGCTGCATATGCTAGGAATATCCGAATTGCTTCGAGTCGTGCGACGGGGGCGAATGTCGCATCAAAATCAATGCCTTCTTCTTGTGAATACCCCTTCGCAACTAATCTTGCTTTATTCCTAACAATGACGCCGTCTTCGTTTGCTTTGTTCCTAAAGACCCATTTAGTGCCAATTACATTTTGGTGCGTTGGTCTTGGAACAAGCTTCCATACGTTGTTGCGCTTGAATTGATCTAATTCCTCTTGCATGGCATCTATCCAACTTGGATCGGCTAAAGCTTCATCAATTTCTTTTGGTTCCAGTTGAGATAGAAAGCATGAGAACATTGCATCTTGTTGTTGGTTCCTAGTAGATGATCGCGTCTTCACTCCGTCACTTGGATCTCCAATGACTAAGTCATGTGTGTGACTTCTTAGCCATTTTTGATTTGGTTGGAATTTTGTTGGATTCTCAGAGTTTCCTTCTTGATGTGATTTCACTTGTTGTGTATTAATGACGGTTGCATCTTCGGGTTCAACTACTGGAATTTCTTCTTGTACAATTTCAGTTGTGCGTGATATTTCGGGTATCACATTTGATGTTGCCTCAATTTGGTGATCACCCATATCACTTGATTCTTCTACTTCCTGCAACACATTGTCTTCGAACAAATCATTAGATTTAATTAAATCACGATTACCTTCACCATTTTTGCCGTTATTGTCGTGATTTTCATCGAACACAACGTGAATCGATTCTTCTACCACCATTGTTGATTTGTTGAATATTCTATATGCCTTGCTGGTAGATGAATATCCCAAGAATATTCCTTCGTCCGCTCGCTCGTCAAAAGTCTTTAATTGAGACTTTCCATTAACAAGTACAAAACATTTACAACCAAATGTATGAAAATAGGTGAGATTGAGTTTTCTCCCTTTCCATAATTCATAAGGTGTTTTGTTATAAGACTTGTGGATTAGACTGCGATTTTGAGTATAGCACGCCGTGTTAATTGCTTCTGCCCAAAATCTTTTTGGTAGTCCGGCGGCCGTTATCATGACTCGTGCGGCTTCCTTGAGTGTTCGATTTCTTCTTTCAGCTACACCATTTTGTTGTGGCGTTCGTGCGACAGATAATTGATGTAAAATTCCTTGTGAATTGCAATAAGATTGAATCACTCTGTTCACGAACTCTGTTCCTCGATCGGTTCGTATTGTTGCAATCTTCATGTCTTTTTAGATTTGCAGTAGCTTCAATAGCTCTGGCAACTTTTATAAGACTTCATCCTTTTTCTTGATGAATATTGTCCATGTGTACCTGGAAAAATCATCAACAACAACCAAAGTATATTTCTTACCACTTATACTTACTGGGTCTACTGGACCAAATAAATCCATGTGCAGTAGACTTAAGGGTCTTGATGTTGACTCTTGAGCTTTGACTTTGAATGATGCTTTGATTTGTTTTCCTTTCTGGCATGCATCACAAATTTGATTTTTCTTGAACACAATGTTGGGTAGTCCTTCGACTATATTATTTCTTGCAAGCTTGTTGATGGTTTTGAAATTCAAATGATTTAGCCTTCTGTGCCATTCCCAACAAACTTCATTCGAATTATTTGCCATCAAGCATACGGATTTCTTCGTTGTACTCCAATCTACAACATACATGTTTTTCTTTCTTGATCCGGCTAGTACGACTTCATTCGTAGATTCGTCCTTGACTTGACATTTGCCTTTGTAAAATTCTACGAGATATCCTTTGTCACAAAATTGACTTGTACTAAACAAGTTAAATTTTAATCCTTCGACATAAGATACGTCATCAATTCGTAGACCATTTTTCACAATTGCGCCGGTTCCTTTTGTCATTCCATATCGATCGTTTCCACCGAAAACTACTTTTGGTCCTTCGATACTTTTGAACTCAACTCGACTAGCTTTATTGCCGGTCATATGTCGAGAACAACCGCTATCAAAATACCAAATTTCCTGCAAGAAAGATTAATTATTTTTAGGTACCCATGCTTGATTGGGTCCTTTTGTGTTAGTAATTTTTGGCATCCAAATCCACCTAGATCCCACTGATCCAATAGTAGGTGATTTGTAACCATTAAAAACTCTATAATCATAACGCACTTGCGAATAATGCTTTGGTGCGGGTTGGGAAGCAGATAGTTGCTTGATTTTATGAAAAAGAGCAAATCTGGACTTGGTCCATGGTTTGTTATCAAGCGACCAATCTTGTTCTGAGGGATATAATCTCCCAGCCCCAATTCTCGGAATTCTTCCCATATTCCTATGAGGTTTTGTTGCACTTGACTCGTTGGCTCTCTTTGGAGATACAAATTTTTGCCTTTTAAAATTTTGTTGCCTATCCGAGATATTGAATTTTTGATTCGGCTTTGCAACATTTTTCTTGGCATTAATTTGATTACCAATTCCTTGTCTCATTGTGCTATACTGACTTTTCACAAATTTTACCACTGGAACTTTATTAATTAAAGTAGTAGTAGAATTAGTCAGTTTTACAAGGGTTTGAGAACATGATGGATCGTAGCCTAGTCCGGCTTTATCTCCAGCGGGTTTCTGCATGTTTACCATTTTATCCATTATTTTGGATGAATTTATAAATGATGCGATTACTTCCCGAAGGTTATGTTCTCGAACCTCTCTAGCTTTGCACTCTTCTTGAAGTCGAACATTTTCGGCTTTCAAATTACTCATTTCATTTAGAGCATTTTGCAATTTTTGTGACATTTCTTCCTTTTCAAGAATTAACGTATTATTGCGCTCTTTGATTTGAGTATGAGTGGCCATGACTTTTTGACAATCTTCCATAAGACTTTGAAATGATTCTTGAGTCTGGAAAGAAGTGTCAACTGAACTAAAAGAGCTAGAAGATACCTCTTCGTCGATTTCACGCGCCATATAACATTCTTCATGTTCGGATGTCTTGCCCACTAGGCATAGTAGCGCCGTATCTTCTTGTGATGAATCACTCTCGTCACTAGATGATTCTTCGGATTCACTTGCTTCTAACGAATCGCTTATTAGTGCCTTCCGTTTGCCCTTTTTGAATTTCTTCTCTTTGGATTTGTATTCCACCTGTGGAGAAGTATTCGAATTTTTGTCCGCCTTGAGGTGTGGACATTCGGCCATAAAATGTCCAGGCTTTCTACAATTGTAACACACGTTTGTGTTATCTTCGACCGGTTCCCTTCTTGATCTTCTATTTTCTCGAAAGAAATTTCCTTGTGGTGATCCTTTGTTCTTTCGCATGAACTTCTTGAATTTCCTAATAAATAGAGAAAATTGTTCGTCAGATAAAAAATCATTATTTGCTACTGACCTTGATGTTGAGGGTTGTTCGGCCATCAATGCGGATGTTCGTTCATCACGTTCTTCCTCGACTCGTGTCTTCATTTCGAACTCATACGCCTTAAGATCACTAAAGAGTTTATCCGTAGATAATGTCCTTAGATCTCTATGATCGCGCATTGCGGTCACCTTCATATCCCAATTTGTAAGTAGTCTGCGTAACACTTTGAGCGATATTTCTTTCTGGGTAATGGTCTTTCCCAGATCCGTGATCTCTCCAAGAATTTTGATCAATCGAGCTTCCATGTCGGTGATGCTTTCGTTCGGTAGCATTTTGAAATCTTCGAACCTCTTCATGGCAATGGTTAGTTTGTTGTCTTTTTCTTGTTCATCGCCTTCACCGATACCGATAAGTGTATCCCATATTTCTTTTGCTGTGGTGCACTTTCGAATCTTTCGCCCTCTATCTTCCTTTGTCCACTCCATTTTTGGCTTTGGAATATATCGTGGAGCATTTGGAGTTAGTGCGGCGGCAGTGTTAACTTCCATAATTTGGATAGGACCATTTGCGATGACTTCCCACATTTCGTCATTTAAAGCAGATAAGTGCACCTGCATACGTATTTTCCAATCATCAAATTTATCAAGTGAGAAAAGAAAATTTTGAGCGAGAGTCATATCTCTCTTCATCTTGAAGATTTTGAGATCTATCTAGCAGTCAAAATTGACTCAAATAGACAACTGCTCTGATACCACTTGTTGGTCCCGAAAGGGTGGCGAGAAGTCTAGAGGGGGGGTGAATAGACTTCTCTAAAATTTTCAACTTTCTTCGAAAACACACAAGGCAAATAACACTTTGGTAATTTCAACTCCAAGCATTAACAAGATAAGCAACTTAGAGTGTGCAGCGGAATAGGTAGCGGTAAAGTGTTATGCTTATAAGTGCGGTGCTCAAAGAGATATTCTAAACATGCAACACGTTAGAAACACTTGATATGGTTCAAAGATGATGTATGTAAAGTTTGGCTTGCATGCAAACGTGGGAACTATCAAACCCAGACAGATAAAGATATGCGATAAATCGTAATCGGGTTAGTTCGCAGTTAGAATAAGCATGCATGAAATGTATGAGCAGTAAGTAAACAGAGAGAGAGAGATTTATAGTGGTTCAGAGGTGGTGTAATCCTCCTAGTCCACTCTTCTCCTTTCACTTCAAGGAGGAAATTCACTATTCTTCGATCACCCAGATACAATAGTGAATAAGTGTCCACCGACACTTCTCCGAGTGCTTCGCACAAAGCTACACTCCTCCAAGGTTTTTCGCAAGCTCCTCTTGTTACTCCGCCTTCCCGAGTACTTCGCACCAAGCTGTACTCCTACACCACGAGAACTACGCACAAAGCTACGTCCTCCAAGGGTTTTCACAAGCTCCTCTTGTTACTCTGCCCTTCACCACGAGGTGCTACGCACAAAGCTACACTCCACCAGGGTTTTTCACTCTCTCTAGTTACTCCGCCCTCTTTCTACACTCAGTAGAGAATATTACAAAGAAATAAATTTCTCTCTCACTCAGACTTGAATTTTATTCTATGAAGCTCTGTTTCCCCCTTTTTCGGCTAATAAAAAAATATAGCTTGTATCTTTTGCTTGTATGTTTTAGCCGTTGT